GATATTTATCCCTATGAAAAGGATTAAACATGTTCTGTTCATAATAATGTAATATCCCAAGGCATGTTGGGATTTCAATATACCTTCAATTTCAAATATACCTTTCAATCTCCAAGTTTTCACCTTCACTGCGCATTAGAATCACCTGGGAAGCATTTGAAAGTCTAATGCCCAGGGCAATTTAATGACAACCAACCTCTGGGTTGGAACCTAGGCATCAGCATTTCTTAAATCTCCCAGAGTGTTCCAATGTGTAGCCAAGGTTGAAAAGCACTGCTCAAGGCAGATGCAAAAATCTCTTCTGTTAAATTAAGGACTCATGTCTGAAAACATGTATTTATGTTTTATAAGCACTCATGAAAGCTCAGCAATTAGAGCTGGAAAAGGATTTCAGTCAAGTTCAGTCTCCTTGTCCTTAGCCAGGAAAAGGCAAGTCCCATTTTACAGCCAAAACACTTAAGACCCAGAGTGGTTAGGTGGCTTGCCTTAGGCCCCATACCTAATTACCCGTAGATTGGAAAGTAGAATCCATGTCTCTTGCCTGCAAGAACAATGCTCTGTCCATAGCATCATATAACCAGGACAACAAGGTTTCAGGGAAGGCCTCTCCATCCCAGGCAGGCCACTTTTATCAAGCAGTTATTCTGCAAAAATGAGAAAACTAGAATATTGCTAAGTATTTCATAAAAGTGAAAACCATGTTAATGATCATAATCCATTAGCCAACTTTGGTTTGGTTGGCTCAAAGTGAGAAATTTGTGGACATCTTTATTAGTAGGAAAATAAACTTCTTTAGAAAGAAGTCAGAGGGGGAAAAAAAAACCCTAATACCTTTACTTTGTAATGGGAAAGTTTAAAAGCAAAAATTTAAAGAACTTCTAAGTGAATTAAATGTCCAGATATTTAGCTACTAAGTGTAGACTATCTTGGTTCTTTTTGTTCCTCACAACAGAACACATTTGCAGATCTGAACTGGAAGAGGGATTTCAAAACCTCTGACTCAGAAACTTTTTGGGTATAAAGGGAGACAAAGTTGGCATTTCTCTTTAGGGAGAAGGAAGTGTCCACCTTGAAAATCATCTGCTCTTTTACCAATGAACCTGTGGCTTAGTACATGTGTGTCACTTCTTTCACCTCCTTCTGTGCACATGAATTTGTGTCTTTCTTTTGGATTCTACTGGTCCTTATCAACAAGAACCACTTATCCTATAGACAAACTTGGTAAGAATTAAAGGTGCTTATTAAGTAAGCAAAGGTTATAACACAGAAGAGAACATTAGAGGCAGTCCACAGAGCTAAGTTACTTCTTGTTATAAGTTTCCCTGAATTTAGGTAGGAGATAGAGTTCCAAAAATAATATGTATGTTACAAGTTTTCCTTATCTTTAAGTGCATTTTTGACTGCTCTAAAAAGCTTGACTATATAGTGGAACCCTGGAGTAAATCCAGAGTTCTGTGTTAATGAGAATTTTGAGAACCTAATTTATCTGTTTGGTGAATCTCTGCTCTCTTCCAGTTATCTGAAAGCAATAACTTGATAATAACTATTTCCTGTTCCTAAGGTGCCGCCTTAGGCACAACAGCAAAGACACACCAAGGCCAAGTCTATGGGACATCAAGGCAACTAGCCATTCAAAGAAAATCAGTCAAGCCTGCCTTTGGTTGTCATGCTGATCTTTCCCTAACACAAATAACAATAAAAAGCAGTTGTTCATTCATTTTCTAACAAGTCGTGTTGAGTTTATTACACACATTCTCATTGCTTTTAAGGAAGAAGTCAAATCAAATTTTTGCCTTGTGTATATCATTTAATCAATTGACTGCAAGCTTTATCTCCCTTTGGTGTTGGTATTGTGGACCCCCAGGATACTGAGTAACCTAAGAAATGAACACCTAAAGTACAAATCAAATCATTTTAGACCAGAGATCAGCAAACTTTTTCCATAAAGGGCTGGTTAGTAAATATTTCAGGCTCTGCAGGCCATATGGTTTCTGTGGCACCTACTCAACTCTTCCGCTGTAGCAAAAGCGGCCCCAGACAATTGTAAACAAACAGACATGGCTATGCTCCAATAAAATTTTACTTATAAAAACAGGTGACAGGACTGATTTGGCACTTAAGTTATAGTTTAAAGACCCCTGATTTAGACCCTTGGAAAACTGTTGGTAAGATCCTATCACTCGATAATATCTTGATTGTGTCTTTTTAACTATTCTAATCAAAGTGTGGGAAAGGATAAACAGGAAGGAATTTCACATAACCCTGATCCCTCAAGGTGGGCCCACGGGAGGTGTTACAGGAGGGAAGGTACTCTCTTACCGCTATCGGGAGACTTATTGACACCACCTACGTTCTCTACTTTGGCTCTGACAAAAACATTGTAAGACAGGCATTAGAACCCCCATTTTCTAGATTTTTAAGAGCATGATAAGATTAAATAATTAAGTTGCAAAGCCAACTTTCAAACCCAGATCTATCTTACTCCATCGCTCCTGCTGTTTCTACTGCACCGTTAACCTTAACAAGGCTTTCTCTTGTTGGGGTGGATGTTAGTTCTTTACATCCACGTGGGACCTGCAGGACTAAGGGCAGAACCCAGGGAGACAATGTGCAGGTGAAGTGGCTTCTCTATCTGATCAGCCGTTCAAGCAAATCTGGAATCCGTGGTTGGGGCTTGAAGATTCCCACTTTCATGTGCCGGCAGTTCTGAGCTGATCTGAGCCAAAGCCCATGTTCACATTTAGTCCACAAACAGGGGTCATGGGCCAGGGAGGGAGGAGGCAACATTTACAAAGTGAATGTTTTCTTAACCCTTTCCAGAACCCCAGAGTACAGTCATTTCAGCTCATGCCTCGAGGGTGTTTTCTGAAAAAAGAAAGTGCCTTCTCAGCACTCTTGGTGTCTGATTTCAAACCCTGCCCTTCCATCAGGTGCTTCTAAGTGGGCTGACGATGCTGCCCTGTTTTTACTAGTTTTCCCACAGAGTTTAGTCACTCGAGTGCCCTCTGTGCCCTAGACATGGGCCTTTACTTGGATCCAGGGTAAAGGGATGGGTCCAGTGCCCAGGGCTTTTCCTAAATTCCTTTAAGGTACTAAAGGACAATTAAAGAGAATTTTGATTGTGTGCATCTGAATATGTAGAACCAGTTAACCCCAGTTATTCCACTGATGGACTTACAGTGTGGTTTCCCCAAGGATGGAGTTTTGCTGCACCTAACTGACCTCCAGGGTATGAGCAGGAAACATGCCTCCAGCATGTCCTTTAAAGAAACTGCTAATCTCTTAGGAGGAATTAAAGAAGGAAAAATTGTAGTGCAAAACCAAGAAGGGGAAATATGGCGGCTCATGAATTCAGGGAAGCAACCCGTATCTCAGACACCAAAGCAAAACCAGAGCAATCAACATCATTTCAGTGGCATCTCGGCTTACTAAGGGTAGCTGGGTGGAGTGGGCATTATTTTTACTCCTTTTACATATCAGAAACCTAAAGATTTTTTAAAAAGTTAAGTGACTTGCTCTGAACAGGTAGGAACCAAGGTATAAATCCCTCCAGGGACTCATATAAAACCCACTGATTTAGCTCTAAGTATAAGAGCATATGAACGCTCAACAGCTTCCAGTAAAGACATGAATGCCCACCTGCCCTCGGCCACATAGCACTCCCACAGGGCTGGCGCCATTGTCTCCCACAGGTGGGGGTCTTGCTCTATCCTCCTTCAGGTAGCATTGCACACCACCCATACTGGACTGTCCTTAATTATCTTGGAAGGACTCCATAACTCCCAAGACTGGATTAAAGTTCATTTCTTCTTATTGAAAAAAAGTTGCATCTTGTCAACGTCAAGCAATGGTGAGACTCCACAATCTGAGAAATTTTGAAATCACTTCTCCACATTACACATTAACAAGCTCGGTTCCAGAGAATTTACACAAGAACTAAAGGAAACAATGAATTGGTGATAAAGTGATTGTAAGTTTGTTCTAATTAATGAAGGTATACTTTCAGAACTTTAAGGGCTCCAATAGAATATCCTTCTGTAAAATAAACACTCCCTAATTTGTCATTTACTGTAAATCTAGATTCTCTTATATTACATTTGCTTGAAGTCGGGGGTGCCGGAATTAATTAAAAGGCGTTTTAAAGACCTAAGCACCTTTAAAAAGACAGACAGAGCAATTTTTTGGTAATGCTTCTTTCTTGAGGAAGTACAGAACTGAGCCCCAATAAGGTTCAACTCTCATGAGACCATTAAGTTGACTTTGTTATTTCAAGAAAGGAATGTTGTAGATAATCTCTGTATGACTTCAATTATTAATAACACGAGTCTCCGGTCCCACATAGTGGAAAATAAAGTACACAGTAGTTCCATCCAAGCCCAGGGATACACATTAAGGTTAAAAGTAAACCCACTGCCCCCCTGCCCTGGGACACACAAGCCTTGCCACGGAATGGGAAAAAGAATGACAAGAGGAAAGACAGTGAAGCAAGTGAAGACATGCTTGATGAAGCCAAGTTTCCGCATTGTCCCAACGCATTCACAGAAACAAAACACACCTTTGGCAGAAACAGGCCCACAGAATTGAACCACAGGCTAAAGAGTAGCTGTTTATAAAAATAAAGCCACTCATGTAAAGAACTCCACACCTTTCCCCTCCCAGCCCAAAACCAATATCACATTTGCTTTTGTTTTGTGAATCATAAACTGCCTTTTCTTCACCACAGTGATTCATCCTCTGCAGCGGAGATGCGATGAGCTGTCCCACCTTGGAACACTAGTTCGTTCCCCTCCAGCCTGGAAAATCAGCATCACCTCTGACAGGCTGGTTTCTCCACCAGGCTCCATCTCGCCCACCTCACCCCTCCTCACTCTCCTGCCTGGGAACCCAGGCCCCCGTTGCCCCCATCACTGCCACCAACTCCCCGGTTACAGGCTGAGCGGTGAACTCCCAGCCCCTACCGGTGCTTACATGGCTCTGACAGCCACGGCCGAACCACTTACGTTTTTGCCAGAGCATGGCCTGTGACAGGATGTTGCCTTTTCTCTTTGAAGCAGACAGTTTGGCTTCTTTAATGTGAGACCTGGGTGTGCTTTCCTCCAGTGTAGCCACTGCTTGCTCAGAGGCTGTTTCCTCAGCTTTTTAAAGGCCCAAGTTCCCGCTGTGTGGGGGCACAGCGTCATCACATCCTCCCACCTCAGGCGCCCGTGCACTTTTTCTTCACAAGTCTGCCTGTCACCCCACTGTGCGCACCCTCAGAGGCCCACCGGCTGCAGACAGCTTCGCTCGCAGAGCCAGCCAGCTGGATCTGAACAACAACATAGCACAGAAGTTCGCAATCATTCGGACGTGGCCAAAAGAGTGTGATATGATGCATGGTGAGTGTGAAAGTGTGTGTGAGTGTGAACTGTGTGAGCATGTGGGTCAAGTCTTGTACCTCTCCACACCAGTGAGGAGTCCAAAAGGCTCCCTGGAAAACTCTGGGTTTTCTATGGCACCCATTCAGGCTTCTACACCACCAGGGTGTCAGCAGGACTCAGTCCGCCGTGGGCCCCGCTCAACGGGAAATGTGATTCCCAGGGGTCACTGGTTCTCAACACAGGAGGAAACACCTGTAGTCTCTTCAAGCCTCACTAAACAACTCCTCATTCTTTTAATATTGCTTGTCTGTTTATTCCATTTTAAAACACGTTAGCCCCTCCCCTTGCCCCCCAGCTACTACCAAAATGGCACAGCTTAATCATGCTTAAATATGGGGACTCTGGTTCTGACGGTACACATACCCATGGAGGAAGAGGCCAACTCAATCGGGGAAGAAAGGAGAAGACACTCAAGCTCTTCAACTGAGGTAGTTACTCAAAGGGGCCTTGCAGGCACTTTATGCACAGGCCTCTCTCCTAGAGCCCATCCATCTGTTAACACGAAGCTTCTCAAGGGAAACGAAATGGGGTTCACCACCTGATTATATGGGGTGTTAGGCCAGTGACCTCTTACAGGTTTGGCAGCTTTCTGCCACTGTGTATCTGAAATCCACATGCTCAGGCCCCAACGACCCAATCGGTTTGGGGTCAAGACCACCTGATTCACGCCCCCTGGGGCAGGTCTGGAGTCTTGCTGCTCTGTTCTCCACACTGCCTCAGAGCCATCTTACACAATCTAGATCAAATCCATTCTCTACCTTAAAAAGCCTTCCCCTCCTCCCTTCAGCCACAGACCTGGTAGCACAGAAGGCCCCTCACAATCTGGTCCTTGCTTACCTTTCCAGCCTCATCGCCCCCTGTGCCCCCTCACCTTTGTTCCTCAATGTGTTCTAAGCACCACTCTGCACATCCACCCAATTCCTTGCCTTTGACCTTACTGTCTTCTCTTGCTGGGTTCCTTTACCCCAGTTCCTCACCTGAAAATCGTCTCTTCATTTTTCAAGATCCAGCTCAAATAGCACCTTTTTGTGGTGAAAAATGTTCTGACCCACCAAACCTTCTAGCCCAGAAAATGTTAGTCCCCTTCTCCCAGCTCCTGGAGCACTTTGTTCATTGTATGATGGTAAATTGTTGCATGATTCTGTAGGTTCCTCAAGGAGGTGTCGCCTTTGTCTCCCCAGTGCCTCATACAGGACCTGGAGCATACCTGACCCTCAATAAAAGTTCATTTAATTAAGTAATGAATTACTGGAGCCGGCCCAGTGATGTAGCGGTCAAGTTTGCGCGTTCTGCTTCAGCAGCCCTGGGTTTGCAGGTTTGGATCCCGGGCGTGGACATAGGACCGCTTGTCAAGCCACACTGCGGCAGCATCCCACACAAAGAAGAGGAAGATTGGCACAGATGTTAGCTCAGCAACAGTCTTCCTCAAGCAAAAAGAGGAAGATTGGCAACAGATGTTAGCTCAGCAACAGTCTTACTCACACACAAAAAAAGTCATGAATTACTGTCTCTAATGGGTTGTTGATTTGAGGGCAGGTCTTGCAGAGAAACATCCTGGCTGGGTTATGAGCCCTCACCCCAAAGCCTCTGGACTGTAGGACATGGAGGGCCCCATGCTGTCAGTGGCCTGGCAAGTAACAGTGTCACAAGGCCTCAGGCCACACTGAGAAGTGTCCACTGGAAACAGAGGCACATCCGTCATGCCTAGCTCAGTCATGGGAGAGGTGGGCTCCCATCAAGACTCTGCCATTCACTGGCCATGTCCCCTTAACCAAGTCACGCAACCCTCCTGAGATCCAGTTTCCTTGTTTATGAAATGAAGAAGCAGTTCTCTGAATGTCTCACAGGGTTCTCAGGAGGATGGGTGACCTCCCTGGTCTTCTCTCACGTTGCTCTGTTTTGGCGGCATGTCTTATTTCTCCAAGTTCCATGAAATTAAGAACTTTTTCTTATGTTTGTCTCTCCTTACAAAACTAGCATAATAATTTCCGTGAAGTAATAATAATAACCACTTACTGTACATCAAGCTCCAGGTTAAGTCTTAACTACATTATCTGATCTAACCACAACTCTGTGAGGAAACTTCTATTCATATTCTTCAGAGAAACAAGCGCTTAAGAAATTTCATTTGCCCGGTGTCACAGGGCTATTAGGTGATAGGCTGGGGGTCAGACCCGAATTCATCCTACTAGAGCCAGAGCTTTAAAGAAGTATACTAATAGATATTGGTTAACTTGAAATCAGTGGAAGCCAAATGTCGGCCATGTTTAACCTGGGGCAGATCAGTAGATTACATCCCCTGGGATAAATCCTTGTTCTCTAGAGGGAAGGAGGACAAATCCAGAGGTGCTCTGACAAATCAGATCTTGTACAGTAGCAGAGAAAAGCAAAAGTTGTCAGTAGGCAAGCCCACCATCATGGCCAGCTATAAACCCTGCCACCTCTGACAGCCTCCAAGCTCAGTGCTTCCAGCAAAGACTCGGGATATCAGTGACTACATGTAGGCAGGTATTTGGGAACCAAGGCTTGATCAAAATGTCAAAGATTTTCTGGGAAGATATTTTCTGTAACTCAGAATCAAAAGTCAAACTACACAGCATAGTTCAAAAGAGGATGAGGTGTCCGTGTTTACGCAATACCTCAAGAAGTGGAGGAAAAGTAAAAGATTCTGTTAACGCCGTCCAGATGTCTCCAAATACAGGTGTGCTCTCATTTTTTTAAAATTTGATATACCAAAATCAAAACTCCTAAAATAATTCAGTAAAGAGCACTGATTCATATTGCAAAAGAACTCTTAGTTTTGCAGAAAGAATTCACCACAGACTTCATTTCTTCCTTCATTCAACAAATTTTTACTGTGTTCATTGTCTGCCATCATCTAGAGTAGGCCTTATTTTTGCCTTTTCCTTTGGGCTTTAATCATCGTCTTCATCCATGGAACTTTATCATCAGAGGTCCATGAAAGTTTCCTTTCTTATTTATTTATTCATTCACTCTTTTGTGGAGTCATTCATCCATTCATTCAATTCTCTCTCCACCTTCCATGTTTATTCTTTTTCCTGGCTTCCCTTACTTCCATCAGATACCCACTGTTCCAAACAAAGAAACTGTTTTCTTCTGTCAATCCTTTTATTTTTAAACATTTGTACCTGTTTTTACAAAATGTATGTTGTTCTGCACACACGGGTTTTTAATTCATGTAGGTGGTGGTGTATTATAGAGCTTATACTGTTTCTTATTTTTTAATTCGGCACTAGGTTGTAAGATCCATCCGCACTGGTATGTATACATTCCATCTGTCACTTCTAATGTCTTGAAAGCATCCCATGGAATGCAAGCACTGCATTTTACTTAACCATATTGTCTCCAACCTCTCCTTCCACAAACAAAGCATCAATAAACATTCTGATATGCATTTTTTTCACAGAGGCATGTGAAAATTTCCTTGGGGTTACATGCCCAGAGGGAGAATTACTAGGTCAAGGAATATGCGTTCATTTAAGTTGACTAAATACAACCAGATTGCTCTCCAGGACTCCCACCAGCAGTTCACGAAGCTTTACATATTTCCATTTCACCACCGAACTTGGCATCATCCAGCTTTCCAATTTTTGCCAACCTAACAGATGTAGTGATAGTTCCTTGTGATTTTATCTTACATTGCTAACACTAATAAATTTGAGCATCTCTTCACGTGCTTGTTAACCTTCTGGATTTCCTCTTCTCTAAGATGTCTTCATTCCTTTGCCAATTTCTCTACTGGGGTTGCTGTCTTTTTCTTGTTGATTAGCAGGAGTTCTTTGTATATTCTACACATACAATTTTAGATATTATCAGTTTTACTTAATACAGATTTCTTCTCCTAATCAGTCATCTGTTAACTTTAACCATGGTGTCCTTTTTTTGAATAGAAATACTTACATTCTATAGGTGGGTCTGCCTTTGAACTCTATTTTATTTCATTGATCTTATTTTCTGTTCTTGTACTCACACTTTACAGTTTTCATTATTGTTTATTACAGTACATCTTAAAATTTTAGAATAAGTTTATCAAGGCTCTCAAAAAAATCCAACTGGAATTTTGGGTTGTTTTCATATAATTTATTGATTGCTTTGAGGAGGACTGATATCATTATAAGAGTAATTTGGCCCAGCTGAGCACGGGATAGTTCTCCATCTATTGAGATCGTATTTTATGTTCTTTATGATTAGAGTTCTAAAATTTTTCCACAGAGTCTAGTGTATTCTTAGATAAGCTAATTCTTAATTGCTTTATAGTTTCTTTTGACATTGTGAATAGCATGTTTTTAATATATTTACTAATGGATTATTGTTGGTGTAGAAAAGTTCTAATAATGTTTATGAGTTTATCTTATTTTTGGCAAACGTGCTGAATTCTCTTATTAGTTCTAATAGTCTGTTGATTATGATGATCTTTCGAGACAGAGCATCATCTCTTCTGAAAATAATGGCAGTTTTATCCTTTCTCTTCCAATCCCTACATCTCTATTTCTTCCCTTTCTTTATAGTGTTGGCCATGAGATGATAAACAGCAATGCTGATAGTGGTTCTTCTTGTCTTGTCCTTGTCTTGAAAATATGATGAAGATAAATTCATAAAATTTTTAAAAATTATGAAATATCTAAGATTAAAAGGGCTCATGAACGGTCAAATAGTAGAAGTAAGGAAAAAGTAACACCAGGACACATTATAATGCAACTTAAAAACAGCTAATACAAAGAGTAAATTCAAAAAGCTTGCTGAGAGAGGGTATATAGGCAGTTGAGGAACAAGAATCAT